GTGAATTTCCGAAAACACCCATAGAAGTTTACTTTATTTCATTTTTGTCCATATTTTCTATTAACACCCCCATCTTATACAAAAGCCCAACACCTGTGAATTCATATGGTCAATTGGGTCGTATAAGAAGTCATAATCATCTGGTCATCTTCTCTCCACCGTGGTCTCTTTTTTTTCTGTGTCATTTTCCGATCTACTCAATTTTCTCAGTTGCTTCTCTTGCCAGGTGAGTGCTAAAAAATTTTATACACTGTTCAAATTGACAATTATTTGGGTCCTTTGTTGGGTTAACTATGTTTCCGCCGATGTCTGTGTGGTTACTTCTTCTATGATTACTGCAATTTGTAGAGTCTTATGTGCTTGAGTATAATGGAAAATTTTTTAAATCTTTGCTGATCAAACTCCAGGAGTTGATTTTGCCTTTGTTAAAGTATTGAGTTTTTTCCCCTTTCGATTAGTAGAGTGATGTCAAAATGTTGGGCTTTCCTCTACCAGGAAGTAGTAATTAGGAGTTAACTTTTTTTTTTGGGGCATCCATTCAGAGATCAAGTTTGCACTAGACCTGATACCTCAAAGTAAGTAGTATTTGAAGCACGAAACTATACTTTGATGATTTGACTATGTAGCATTACCTGATAGTCTCTACGAGTCTATTTATCCAGCAGAAAGCTGTAGCATACAAGGTTTGCTGACAAAAAATAACTGTTGCCGTTGGTCCAATTTCTGGTAGTGCGGCGTAGTAGGCAATTCAACATTTCAAGAGCCATCTCTCTCATATATCTTAACAAGGCCTAAATATGTCCAATAACATGTAAATAATCAATTAGTCTCACAATCTAACATAGAATAAGAGAATACCACGAGAAATAAACAAAGACATGAATAAAACTAGTTATACGTGCATGCTTTCAAACATGACAAAGCATATACACTCGTCACCATACAAATACATCATCCCCAACACATTTAGCATATAGCAAGTAAACATTTATAACCTAATTCCCTCAAGTCAAGGTTAAATACGATACTGACCTCTTTCCGGAACATGTTCAACAATNCTTAATCTCTAAATACTGTGTGTATCGAATTTTAGCTTAATCAACAAAGATTTCAAGCAGAAGAGTTTACAAATGGGTATACTCATAGCCATTAATATATGTCAAGAAAGTTTTCTGTAAAACGTTTTCAGGAATTACTTGAATGACATCTCAAGAGTTAATATAGTATCCTTTTTGTATCCGTTGCAATATTTCGTTCACTTGTAGTACAGTAAATATCTAAAATTGCCAAGTGTGTGCCCTCATGTTGAAGTTTCAACTGAGTTTCTGTACTGACATAATGATCGCAAGAAGTCGATCTACCATGAAGTTGAGAAACTTTCAAGGAGTAAGCAAAATATTCCCGAACAAGTATAAATGTACTTTCAGAATTGCTTTGAGAATCCTAGAAGGTTATTTAAAAAGGATACGTGGAATTATTAACTAAAAATTGCATTTCAGGTGATAAATAAAGCTGGCAAATTTTAGATGTGCTAGCTGTTAGTTATAACATAATATGAATTTTACTCTTGATGCAATTTTAGAACATGATCGATGATGCCAAAGTCCTGCCTCCAGAATCCTTTGGACATGGAATCTTGGCTTTGGTCAAGGTCAAATTTGTGGCTTAGTTTGAAAATTACCTAACATTGACATTTTAGACAAGGCTGAACTCTAGGAAGATTGATAATGGTTACTCAATTTCAGACCTTTGCTTTTCTTTGTTTTTGTAATGCAGGGTCTGCATTAAATACACACTATGAGGGCAACACGTGTGACAAAATTTCTTGGCCTCATTGAGCCTGTTAAATTTGGCATCTATCCATTATATTGTTAGATGTGTATTTTAGTCATTCCTGAAACAGGGAAAAAGGAGGATAGTACATGCCCCGGAAAGCAAAAGGGAACTGCACTAATATTTGGCCATAAGTTTAAATAGATATAGCTATCTCTCTATGAATGTCATGAATGATATTCTAGCAATGTTTACAGTGGTGGTAATATATTGAATAAGGCAATAGATATGGTGAGAGCAGGGGGGGATTTTAGTGCAGAAATAGTGTGCATAAGGTAGACTGACATGGATGAGAAGGATGTGCCTGTAGTTGGAAGGAAGAAAAAAAATACAGATCCACCACTAGAACCTCTGTCACACTTTTTAAAGTTTTACCTCACAAAGATAATGACGCGCGTTTGGTTTCTTTCTTCTTTCAACCCCACATTTGGTTTCTCTCTTCTTTTCTTTGTTGTGCGAATCTACTTTTGGTTCCTGTTTTCTTTCTAATGCGAGTCTACTTTTGTTTCCTATTGCTTTCCTTGTTTGTGAATATTTTTGAAGAATGGCATAGGGAAGTGTAAGTGATTGCATATGCTACAGTTTAACTGTTACTATCAACCGTGGTCATTGGTGTAATGTCACGATCCAAAATCCAAACTGTCGTGATGGCACCTAACCCAACCCGCTAGGTAAGTCAATTAACAAAATAACATAATATAATAACACTGAAGTGAATCAAAGATGAGATGACTGAATTTTATACAACTCCCCAAGGACTGGCAGTATAAATCATGAGCTTATAAGATTTAGAGTTTACAAAGCTAGTATGAAATAAATACATCATCTGTCTGAATATACATAAACAGATTTTTCATAAGTCTAGGGCTATCATGAACAAGGGGTAGTTGTAACTGGAACGCAGGTACGTCTTCAATGCTAGCTTCAATCATACACAGCAACATCAACGTCCAAAATCTGCACGCAAGGTGCAGAAGTGTAGTATGAGTACAACCGACCCCATGTACTCAATAAGTAACAAACCTAACCTTAGGTTGAAAGTAGTGACGAGTTGGAATAAAGGTCAGAGTCCGACTCCAATAACCAGCAACAGTTCATAACAATATAAAAAAGATGATACAAGAAATAACTCAATAAATAAATGCTCAGCTCGTATACAATTCTGGAAAATAAATATTTTCTTTTCAAGTATAACAGTAAAACTCAAATCTTTTGCTGAAATCACCAAAAATATGAGTAAGTCTGAAATCTGTGATTTTTCTCAAAAACTTTAACGACAAATAAGAAATTCCATTATCATATGGCATGAGGAAAAATACTTTTCTATGCCTACATATCAAGTATGTGTGTCTAATGCAATGCAACACACTGATGAACTCATGTACTCACACTCTCAGAGTACTCAATCTCATCGTCTCGCATTTCCACTTATCACGCTCAATATTCAGCACACTCAGCCACTCGGCACTGTACAGGGCAGATCCAACCCCAAATATAAATGACAACTCGCGCGCAGTCACTAAGTACTATATATTATCAATCTAGCACAGGGAAGATCTATCCCAACTATATTTATATATGATAACTGACATGCAGTCACTCACTACTGTATATGGCCAATCCAGCCGAGGGAAGATCCATCCCTCAAAATAAATAATTAGGCAAGATCCATCCCTCAATATAAATAATTAGGCAAGATCCATGCCTAGGGAAGATCCATCCCTCAATATAATATCAACTGTGCACACTGTGGGTGTGCAGACTCTGGATGGGCTTATTCAGCCCAAGCGCTATAATAAGCCAAATCCAAGCATAAATCAATAATACATGATACGACGTGCAGCCCGATCGCCTAAATATCACTCACAATCAGGCCCTCAGCCTCACTCAGTCATCAATATCTCCAGCCTATCGGGCATACAATGTCATAAAACTGGCCTAAAATGATGATATGATGTATCAATAAATAGCAACAGAGATTGAGATATGATACGCAATGAATGAACATGACTGAGTACGAAATTATAATTTAAACATATAATTCGACTGCAGAAATGACCTCAGTGGGTCCCAATAATACCAGCATTTACCTAAGCATGATTTCTAATATGAGTCCCAACTCATTTCTCTAACACATGAGAAATACATGAAAAATATAAGTCAATTGGCTACACAACTCTACAGAATCGATCGAGTCTCAATTTCTACGGTGCATGCCCACACGCCCGTCACCTAGCATGTGCGTCCCCTCCAAACAAATCACATAATATGTATAATCAGGGTTCATTCCCTCAACTCCAAGTTTAGAAGTGTTACTTACCTCGAACAAGCCAAATCCAATACCGAGCAAGTCAAGCGATTCTCCAAAAATACCATCCCGCGCGCACCGACCTCTGAACGACTCGAAACTAGCCAAAAGCAACTCAAATACGTTAATTACTGCCTAAGAAAACAATTCCACATGATAAAGGTCGAATCCTTAATCAAAATCCCAAAATCGGCCCTAAAGTCAAACCCGGGCCCAAAATCGGTCCTAAAGTCAAACCTGGGCCCGCATCTCTGAACTCGATGAAACTTATAAAATCCTACAACTCATTCAATTACGAGTCCAACCATACTAGTTTCACTCAAATCCGACTCCGAATCGATGTACAAAACTCGAAAATTCGCTTTATGAAGTTTTAGACAAAACTCTCAATTTCCTCTTTAAAATTCATCAACCAATTGCCAAAAATGAAGATAGATTCACAAAATATAATCTAAACCGAGTGTAGAATACATACCCCAATTTATATGGTGAATATTGCCTAAAGAATTGCCCAAATCCGAGCTCCCCAACTCAAAATATGACCAAATGAACAAACCCTCGATATTAAATATTTTTGCCCAGTTATTCTGCCTCGTTTCATGTGCCAAACTATCCTGAAACTCGCTTTTGGTGCCTCCAATGGATTTCTTGTTATATTTCAGTCAAGTTAGGAATTTGAATCACTTCATTTGACTTTATAATGAAGGAGATATGTTGGTTTCAATATTTGGAAATAGTGCATATTTTTAAATACGAATTTATTGGCAATTTCGTAGTTACTTTAGAAAAATCTGGCAGCCCAATTCTTAGTAAAATGACCATAAATTTCTCATACGATGTCGAAAGTTGATGATTCCAGTTGTTATATTTCCAAAATTACGATACGGATCTAATACTTCAATCAAAATAGAAATTGGAGCGCATTTGCTTAATGTGGTACCATTTATGCTTGAAGAAACAACGTCGAAACATCAAAAACGAGTGCAAACACAACCCAAACCTATCCGAAACACACCTGAGCCCCTCGGGGCCCCGTCCGAACATACCAACAAGTCCCATAATATAACATAAAATTGCTCGAGGCCTCAAATCACGCAAAACAATATCAAAATGAATCGCACCTCAAATCAAACTTAATGAACTTTTGAACTTTCAACTTCCAAAACTCATGCCGAAATATATCAAATCAACTCGGAATGAACTCAACTTTTGCACACAAGTCCCAAATGACACAACGAAGCTATTCCAATCTCTAAAACCACAATTCGAATCCGATATCTTCAAAGTCAACTCTCGGTCAAACTTATGAACTTTCCAAACCTTCAAATTTTCAACTTTCGCCAATTAGCGCCGAAACCTTTTTGAAATATCCAAATACAAACCCGGGCATACACCCAAGTCCAAAATTACCATCCGGACCTAACGGAACCATCAAAACTCCAATCTGAGGTCAAATACTAAAAAGTCAAACTTGGTCAACTCTTCCAACTCTAAAGCTTCAATCATGAAATTCATTCTTCCAAATCAATTCCGAGTAACCTGAAAACCAAAATCGATAATTTACACAAGTCATAGTACATCATACGATACTGCTCAAGACTTCAAATAGCTGAACGAAATGCATATGCTCAAAACGACCGGTCAGGTCGTTACATGTAGTGTGCTTCAAATGTGTAAATATAAAGTGCTCAAGAATAGTGTTAATTGTTGGTTGTTCGAGGACGAGCAAGAGCTTAAGTCTCGGGTGGTGATGTTTGGCTAAAGTTTTATGTTTTTGCATGTAATTTTTCTTGCATTATGCCTTGATCTTGTTAACTTTGGTGTGAATATTTGTGATTCGAGCTTAATAATGGTATTTTTATGTGTAGGAATTAATTGGAAGTGATTTGGGGAGTTCGTATGCAAATTGACGTAAAAAAAGTGAAGAATTTGGAGGAAGTATAAGTTGGTGCCCAGGTTGGTGCCAGACACCAATCAAAACGCCGTTGACAGCATGATAAAATATTCACTGTCCAGGTTGGCGCTAGGCACCAACCAAAATGCCATTGGCAGAAGACCAAAATGTTTGATGTCCAGGTTGGCGCCAGGCACAAAGCATGACGCCAAAGGGTTGATTTTATCCTAATTCAGCTAGGACTTGGGGATTTCAACCCTACACGTCCCCAACATGTATAAAAAGAGTTCTAAACCTATTTTGAGGGATTGGACATTATTTGGAGGCACGAACATCAAACAAGCTTTGGAGGAGAAAATCATCGAGTTCTTCATTCCTTCATCTTTTCTTTGTAATTTGTTTATGCAAAATACTTGAAAAAATATTACTACGAATATGAGTGGCTAAGCACTCTAGTTTCTAGGGTTGTGGTTGACATGATTATTAATGTTTACTAACTACATCTTCGTTAATGCGGATTATCATCTTGTGGTTGTTTCTTTAACTCTAGTTTTAACTTGTGACTTGTTGTAGCTACCATTTCACCCTACTATCTATGCTATGTATGGAAAAGCCATGTTTAGATTAGAGTAGAATTAAAGAGAGCTTGTTTCTGAACCCGTGGCTCGGAAAACGATTTCGCGGTTAGGATAGGAATATACCTAACAGTTTTGCTTAGTTGAATACCGTATTATATTTGTTCATGATAGACTCAATGCCATAGGAATATAGGATTGATATATTGTGGATAGGCGAATAGTATTATGGGACCATGCTATTTATATTAAAGATCTGGTCAATTAGCAACCATAGATAATCTGGATTAACGAGTGTGATTATTGAACTTAATAGGATTGATAAATGAACCACAACACTGAAATCTTCATTTTCTCTGATTAAAATCTCATCATACACATTTGCATTCTTGATAAATTAGCCGTTACTTGTTTAATTTCCGCAATAGTAGATTAATAGAAAAATAACACTCTTGATTATCTTGGACTTTAAATTGATTTTAGTTTGATTAGTTAACAATTACTCTAAGTCTCTGTGGGTTCGACATCTACCTTTCGAGTCACTTTAATATTTGACGGCCACGTATACTTGCGTGCACTTGGGAACCAACAATTTTCGTATGAAATGAGTGCCCATTAATTTAGATAAACTTCATTAAAATAATTATTTTTCTAGAAGGTAATAAATTTAACGGTTCACTTTTGAAAAAATAAATACGAAAAATGTATCTCTCAATAGGCAGTTCTTCTTTACTTGAGAATGAGTAATAATTCATTAGTAGAACTGTAAATTCTTTTGTGTATATGTTATGAGTGTAACGTTCGGTATATACCAATATTCTTCCTTTACCTCCTTTACATTTATCTGTCTCCTAGAAATTATTTTAAAAATCGAATCCCGATTCCTATTTAAACAACTTAGTCCAGTTAGGAAAAAGGACTTTTCATTTGGGTTTGTATTGAGAAAAAAGTTTCTAAAAGCAGAACTACAGTGTGGAATCAACCAAGTAATACCAACTAAAGAATTATAGGATGCATTGCAACACCTTCTTGAACACAAATGGATCATACACAATAACTGAACAAGGTCGTCTTAGCCTCCATTTCATTTTATATAACAGTGTTTGATTTCACGTAATTCAAAAATAAAAATAAAAGACTTGACAAAACTTGTGATATTAAGAGTGATGTGAGATTTTTCTGATTGTAAGAGGATTTCACGATTAAAAGTAAAATAAAAAGTTAAAAATTAAAAAGAAAATCTAAAATAAAGATATCATACTATTTTGAAATAAAATATAAACAAAATTGTCAAAGGAGGTAAATATTAGAAAAGTGCTACTCCCTTTGTCCCTACTGCTACTTGTAGTCCGTTTTCAAAAAGAATATCATACTTTCTTATTAGAAATAATTTAACTTTAAGAATATTTACCCTAAAAACGGATAACAATTAAATTTGTAAGTGGTTTTAAGGATACGTGAATTTATTCAATATAAATGGTAAAGATTGCTAGACTAAACAGGCAAGAGATGTAATAAATTATCAAACCGCTTGAAAATAAGGGAGGATGATTTTGGACTCGAGGGCAGCCTCAACGAGGTATCCATCTTCGATCATGGGCTTATAATAACCAAACACTGATCAACAATGTAAGAGCTATGAATAATAAAAAAATAATAGTATATTGCTTTGGGATGTGTGTTACTATGTGTTCAATGAATAATGAGACTCTCCTTTATATAGTAGATGAGTTTTACTCTAAGTACAATTCTATAAAAGATAAAAAATCTTCTGCTTAACTGATCACCAGTTCTCCATCGATACTTGACGAGATCCACGCCGTGATATCTGGTCGGTCGCGGATATTACGACCTTCCGTTGGTCGTGCTGGGTTGCCTGACAACGTTCTCCGAAGTCCTTTGGGATTTGGATCGATCCCGGATCATGGCCCTGATATTCTCGAGGGTGGGCGTCATACCCTCGGATTCTAACTTGATGATACCCTTGCCTCGACTCCGGTCCCTTGCCATCATATCTCTAGCTTGGTTTATCTTATCGGAAGCCGGGGTGTACCATGAGCTCGATTTTACCCGTATACAGATAGTTCCCTCGTTTCTCGGAGAGTAAGTTGACGAGAAACGACATGAGCTCCCCGATTCCTTCTTCAATACGCCAAGATAGAAATGACAAAAAATTTGAAACGTCTCGTTAGTGATGTCATTATGACCTCAAATGCGTATCAGTCGTCGATTGGCTGTCCCTGGACGCGAAACGTCGTGGAGCCCATATAAATATCCCCTCCTTCATTCATTTTTTACTTTACGTCCAAACTTCTACCCTCGTGCCTTCAGGATTTCATTACCTTTTTTTATACTCTAGTATCTTTACCTCCGTTACTCAAGATTTCTCAGTAGGTTACAAAAATTTTACTCATTCTCTACTCAAGCCAACACATCTGAGCTTTCAACTTTCAACCTTTCTCTATCTTTTTCAAGATTTTATAGATAACAATGCCAAAACCTAAAAATCTGTTCCCCAAAAGTCTGCTTCTACCTCCCAACCGACTGCCAAATTAACGAAACCACTCTCGATGTGGTCGACCTTGAGAGGTCCGCCACTAACGTGGCTACCGATGAACCGGCTGTTGAACCTCCCTTGAAGATGTTCATTCCCGGGAGTTGTTCGGTTGCTGACGACTTCAAGGTTGAGAATCCCTCTTCGGTGTAGGGTCGGCGTGAGGAGGCATCGAGATATATTTGCTCAATCACCGAAGATGACCTCCTCACGGTCCGAAAGGACTACAACTGGGCCGACAAGGACATAGTGGTCCCCGAGTTCGAGGAGGCCATTACTTCCCATGTTGAGGGGATACCTAAGTGTTCACACTTATCCCTTTACACTGAGCCTGGTGGACCCGGTCATTATAGATTTCTGTAGGAGGTACGAGGTATGCCTCGATCAGATCCACCCATCATTGTAGAGGATCGTAATCCTCCTTCGATATTTTGTGAACAATATCGACTCATGTCGGCTCACCGTGGATCATCTACTCCATCTTTACAGTCCCTGAATCTTCTGAGGGGGACTGAAAAAGCTCGTACGCCGGGCTACTAAAGCTCCATTCTCAAGCATCGATGAAGACCGAGATCGAGGCTGGCAAGGAAGCTTTGTCCAGGTGAGGCCTCCTACTTGATTCCGACCGAATTTAGGCCATTATCTGAGAAGTGGAATGCATCACATAAGTACAACTTTCCTTTGAATGTTGATTTCATGTTCATCTCCCTTTTCCTCATTGGTATTCGTGGCAGTGCAGCTGTTGCTCAACTCCCAAATGCTATCCCTCGGTTCAAGGAGTGGATCAAATGCATTATCTCACAAATGCCCTACTCTGAGCGCTCGTGGAGCAAATTCTCAAAGGGCTGTTGGGAGGCCCATTCCCATGGTAAGATTTATTTCTCGAATAAGTTACGTTAGGCTTCTTCTTCTAGCATCACGTTCTTATTTCTTTTATTTCCTTTTTGCAGTTTGCCTAAGACCGTCGAGCTTAGATCTCCGGTCGGGGACGAGGGCTTGCCCACTGATTCTTCTTCTTCGGGGCAGTCCAGAGCCACAACAGGAGAGAAGTAAAGGAGGAGGGCCCCGAGTTCTCCGAGCTCAGAGAAAAAGAAACCAAGGAGAAGGTTGGTTCGTAAACCAAAGGAAAGCTCCATCTCCCGAGTGCCTGACTCGGACTCACTCTTACGGATCAGGGACGAACCTGAGAAGGATGAGCTCTTTGTGGCCCACGAGTCATCAGTCCCCGAGGAACGGATGGAAGCCGAGGGGGAAACGACGGAGGCTAATCCCCTTCAAGATCATGAGGCAGGTGCCGAAGTGAGGGCCGAGCTCTCTCGAGATGCCGGCTCCGCCCTGCCCGGTGTTATAGATATTTTGGGATCTCCCTCGTTCACAGAGTCCATGTTCGATGAAGCCCGGGCGACGAAGGAGCAATCCAATGAAGGGATTGATGGAGCGGACGATCCCCTCCGATGCTTCTTTGATGGTATAGACTCAACCGCCCTGAATGACTTTACCGTGTTGGGTGACTTATAGGTGCCGAGGAAAAGTCCATCCTCGGAGGTCGGTGGGCCGAACTCGAGTCCTAGGTTGACCAATCGGTTCCCCGCTCTGAGCACGGATCTTGGCACGGATCCCGGAGGATGCCCGTGTTCTTTCCGCCCCTATTGGGGTAGCTAGCTACCTCAAGTGCCTGGTAATGGAAGAAGACCGGACAAAAATGAAAGAGCTGGATGCACCATGCTTGTTCAACGAAACACAATAGGTGTTGAACCGGGTAAGGTGTTATCACACCTTTTTATCTTCGAATTTGGGTTTTGATGACTCTAATGCCTTCTCTTTTTTACATTTTGCAGCCCTCGGTGCTCCATCATGAAAACTTTCTCCGGTACCGGGATGAGCTTAGCCAACCCGAGGCCGAGGTCACAGAGATTGTTGAGAAGAGGGACATGTATAAGCTTCTCAGCAAGAACCGTGAATGGGGGAGAACCATGAAGGTGCCTTGTAGATATTTCTTTGTTTTTGTATTTTTGTATATTTTGTTGAGTCCGTTTGGCCTTTGTAAAGATCTTTATATATATACAAGGCTTTTCTTTTTTCCTTTTGGCAATTTTCAAGTTTGTTTCTTTCGGCTTTTTCTTTACGATTGCAAAGATTTCAAATTCCTTAGCACGTAGAAATAAGGTTTTGTTCGGAGGTTCGAACAAAGCTTGTTCTCGATGTGATTTTGTTTAGAACTCATAGGGATTGGTATGACCAGAATATTTCTCCAAAGTGCTTACTTAGATGTTTTTACATTATAATTTTGCCGAGGGTAGCCTTTGAACCGGTTTGGAAATTTTGAAGGCATTATGTTTTGGTTATGGGTTTCGGATATTTTCGAGCCATTTCTAGGATGGTCGTAGCCTTTTAAGTTCGGTATTACC